TGTGTCACAGTTGAGATGAACGGGCTAAAACCGGATTAGGGTAGAAGGAAAACCTATTTTGCCGTCGATGAAATGTAAAACTAACGAAGTATGCTCGAGTTTATGGGATTTAACTATTCATCGCCTTGTACAGTTTATGTCCATCATAACTGTATGCTGCAAGAACATAATCCCTAATATGTCGCGAACTTCGACACCGTAAAATCGGATTATCCCCTGTATACAATCCAACGTTTAAAGCTGATGAAATTGGTAGGTTATAGCAAACATATGAAACCTGCCATCGCCAAAAGCTTTGGTTTTCACCACTTTCACGGAAGATAGCCTCGATACAATAAGAACAGGTAATCCAAATCATTTATTGGACCATGGCTCTAGGCGGTGGTTTTCTTGGATCAAGGTACTATCCTTTTCAATGAAAGAATGTAAAATATTTTGCAATCGTAACACAAACACTTATGAATTTGTAATTTGGATGCACCGTGACAGTGGCAGCCAACGTGGCTGCTCATAGTGAGCGGAGTCTACTTCAAGATCAATCATACACAACGTAAGAGTTTCCTTTGAAATTGCTCCACATTGAGGAACATTTTTCGAAATAATTGATGCTCTATTTGTTTTCGGGCGATTAATTCATTCCCACAGTCCACAAGAGGTGATCAGCTGTCAAAAGTTTAATCAGGAGGGTATTTATGGTGTTCACGTTCACTGTACATTTCATTAACAGTTGTTCATGCTTATCAGCCCGAATGAGGCATGATAAGCTCTAACCCAACTCTCACCCCAACCCCCTGTGGTGGGCAAAAGATGCATTTTGGGGCTCAAACGGAACATGTACACATGAAAACGTAAGGTGACCACATTCGGATTAGTTACTTATTGCACTATCCAAAATGCAATGATTGATGTTGAATGAAAATTGCAGATAAAACGGTGATTATAATATATGCCGTTAATCATTCCCTCTTCAAAGATTCAATCAGAACTACAAATATGCACATTCAACATTTTCGTTTGCGTCTGATTGTTTTTGAGGTACGAATTCTAAGTTAAAAAACCGTTGATGCAAGATTTTCAGTAACGCAGTCTGACAGCCTGTCGGTAAGTTTTCTTATGCGCCTGGGAGGTCCTATTTCGAGGTTGGTCACGTTGGTATTTTCCCCTCTTCAACGGATCCGAAAAGAAACACAATGAAGTATACAATAGCATGGCACAAGCAAACTTCGATTGAAAGATGGTATTTTGTATACCTCATAACTAACTGTGCACAAAATCAAGTCCCAAATTCCACTGACTGTTTTTATCGCCATTTAATTTTTTTAATCTAGATCCGATTTGATACTGTGCTCATAAATCAAGAAGATAAAGTTTCAGTCATTATCACTCCACTAATATTTTGGGTGCGCAAATGAGTCACTTTAACATGCTCACGAGAATAAGTTTTAGTTGCACAACGAACAATTACATCTTGCAAGCGAAAATGGTTGACGCGTCAAACATTCGGTATAAACCCAGTTCCATCAACTTGATTTCCAATTCCACCGGTATACTATTTCAATGTACTGTTGGATACTACGTTGCTACTTCTAAACACATTCATAAAACAAACAAAAATGACTTTATTCTGAATTGAATCGAATGATTGACCATGACATACTCTCACCACTGGATTCAACCAAAAAATACGCATGAACAATATCCATACCACATACCACTTATCCGTTTCGTGTTTTCCCATTTATTTGATCAAAAGCCCAANAACTGAAAGCGCTCAATAAAGAACCCCAACAACCTTTGATTATTGGATAAATTTACAGACGTTTCTGACAACACTTTATCCTTCTGAAAAATGTTCCGTGTGCTGAAGCTATTTTTCTTTTCATTTAGAATATAAAAATAAAATAATCAGGTCCAGTTAATATTACACACTGCATTCATAGGGTTACACTACTTTGTCAATTAAGGTGGAGTTGTCTGTCTAGTTGAATGTGAGTTGTTGCTTTGTTTTTCATTCTTTACTACTGAATTCGGTCTATTTGGATTTTGAAAGCAAAAAATGTAATATTCCGTACCAATTATTGTATGTGATACCTTTTCATATTAACTTATGGAAAACAGGTATATTTCATACCTGGCATACCATTTTCAGATCTTCTATGAAGATTGTGTTGCTTGCAGATGGAAAATATAAAATTCCGAATCCCTTTCCATTTTTCAGTTTCTTTTTGTATTATCCTTTTTCGTTTGTTATTTGAAGGGCTCTGTCTATGGTTCATTTCTAACAATGACAGCTTTGAGAAAAGATGTCATTACCAGTTCCATCTGAAAAGAGAAGAAACATTTTCAATAGATTTTATACACTGCAACCTCAGTGATGAATCCATGACGCCTATCACAGATATTCGTATTAATAACCCCCAGCCCACAATTCATTTATCTGCAATCAAATCTGCACCAGCTTATTTTGAACCATACCCAATGCATTTATAACTATTTACCCAATGCATCCAAACGTTGATTGTTCGTTAAATGGTTTCTTACCGCAAGGTTTATGCATTTATCGGATATCTGTTCATATCAAATAATATTCATTCACTGGCCCAATTTTTATTCACACACTGCACATACGTCAGTTGATCACTTTTATCAAACAGACCGATCAGATTAGTGTATTGAATAACGGCATAAAACCCCGTTGTTCAGTCACATAAAGGGATAATTGTTCGCTATTTGGGAGACCAGATTAAAAAAATGTTATGCACTTTCTAGGCTATATAGCTCTCGTTGCTGACACGGCACTTAGCTCCTCGTATCGGTTTTTGTTGATAAGTGGAGCGGAACGGAATTGAGTTCATTCGCCTAATGAAATGTGAGTCAAGCAACATCTCTATTGTCCACAATGTAAGGATCGAATTGAACACCATTCTGTTCGTAAAACGAACGTTTTGTTAATGTAACTAACGGATAAGGAAGCTCACAAGGAATGGTAAAAATGGGTTGTGCTCCAATTTGTCAATACTAAACTGAAAATATTCTCCATGATTTTAACAGCACTTTCTTCGTTAAAAAAATTATTCAAAACTGACCATATATATACGCTACTTTGTTTATTTTTTCCGGTGAATACCGGGATGCTGTTCAATTTGATTACTACAACCAGTTTGGTTCTCGGAAGTAACAACTGACAAAGTGCCTACAACGAGCTAGTTTGCCCATGAGATTCTACGTTTCATGTCACTAAATAATGACAAGGTGTATTGAAATCAACCATTGTGTAAGCTTAGGTGAAACTGCACCCAAGCATTCCACACTCCGACCAAGAAGCTCTTGAGAAGAACACAATCCTCGGGCTGAACACCACATACAGCAAATACAATACTGTGTTACAAGAATGCACTTCAGTAAGTTATTGATGACAGGCATTCAGTTATAATTCATATTGTTGATAAACTTCAGCATGAGCATAATTAGGGTTATGCAATTAAAGAGCATCGCCTATCACTGACACAGATACCTTAAATCACAATCTACTTCGTATCCCTGCAGGTGTCGATATACATGCGACGCAAATCCGTGTTTCCCACATAATAACCCCAAGCTCTAGTGAGATGCTCACAGTTCGATTGTATGCCATTTGGAGTTTTCCTTTACACCATCAAGCTGATTGGATTGGTCCCAACAACTGATTGGACTGGTTTTTAGTTCACTTATGTAATTTCTCGTCCACACAACAATGCCTTTTTGGAAACACCATTCAAATACAAATCTGTTCGTCCTAACCAACGAACAACCCTTGACGAAAACAGTTTTCGGTAATTTCAGGGTTAGTTAGTGCCTTTCCAAAAAAATCTTTTGTTCTCTAATTTCCACCATACAGCGTACCCGTTTCTAATATTGAACTAATTCAAGGAAACCAATATATTTTTTGCTCTCGTACCAAACATANTTCTGTAATAGCTACTCACGAGACACTACAAATGAAATAGTTCGTTTACGTGATACCGCTTTCATTTGTCTGGCGTCAAATGCGTATGGCTTAGCTCTTTTTTAATCAACTACGTGTATTGTTTTAGCTCATTACCGATCGTGTGGACACCGCTTCCAAATTTCTCCTATTAACTAGTCGACATCGACCGTTTTTCGTACCCAATAATGTCTGACTGGCGTGTTTGCGGCAAATTGTGATAANNATCAACCAGCCGATTACAGAAACACCGGTTCGGCTGACGCAAAACACTCTTGTTTTACACAGTTCACGCAAGAACTCTCTTAGCTAACGACATTGCTCGGGCATTTATCAACAAATCTATCTGATGAAACGGGTCAAACAGTTTGGAACTTTATTGCTGGTTCAGGTGACAAGCGAATGAGGGAATGCTGTGGTGAAAGAGTTGTATATGACTATATTTTTCATTATGCTGAAACAATGCATTTAACCGAAAATTTGGTTAAAACGTGGATCAAACATTTGAGCAAAAATTCTAGATCAACTTGTCCACAGTGAACCAGTGGTTATTAGGAAACAAACTATATGATTGATTTTTGTGTTTTTATCAATAAAACCAAACTGCTGTGATCTGACACGTGATTAACAAATGTAATCGTATTCGATTATAACAAGGAGCAGACGGATAATAACAAGTGAATGAGCAAGGAAATCCGCATATCGATCGAATTTACCTCACTGGTATGTATTTTGAGATGTTCGAAGATTGAACTGCCATGATCACCTCACATGATCAGGTCAACATACTAAGGGAAATATGTGATTTCAAAATTTGAGTTTCATGTGTAAGTTATTTTTCAAGAACTTACTTTTCCAAATAATGTTTATTGTACTGAGCACTGTGAACGTTATACTTTAAATTCACATTACTTGGTGTGAAATGTTAATGCAAGGAGTTAAGATGTTTTGTGAATCCTCAGTGACTTTTAAAATAAGAAAAGGAACCATGATTTGCAGTTGGTGTGACAAAATACGTTTCGGTTTGGTGAGTGGATCATGAATTCAAATTATGCTTTTCGCAAGGATTTTTATTTGTGACTTGAGAATTGATTTTCACATAAAACAAATTTTGAATGAAATCACATACCCTGTCCTTTCTTCGGTTTCCTTTGAAAGCTCTGTGAAACAAGTTCCGTACAAACGCATGTTGCACATGTTTAGTACTATCAAAATTACCGCGGTTAGAAACAGTACCATGAATCGCAGGAATTGAGGATCGTGGAGGAAGCGTCCGGGTATTAGCCGGGGCTTTACTGATCAGATTTTGCATTCCGTTCGGACGATTTGTCGAATCTAAGGATTCCAAAGAGGAAGTGGAGGAGGATCGATTCAATGTCACACTAGGTTCCTGTAGCACACTCTGATCGCCGATCACCACTGGGGCATCACGACTGCTCAAAAGCTGACGCAGTCGGGACATATGCACACGTCGAACCAATGGGGAACATTTCGGGCTCACAATATCATACAGTAGGCTCGTGGCGCACTGAATTGTATTTCTCGAAGTACGCAAGCGACCGGATAGCACGGAATGATTGTTCACATCCGATGATTCCTCCCAATTTGTACTCAAACTCCGGTAACCACGAAGGCGTCTGCGCGGAGACAGAAGACTGGGCGAATTGGTGTGCGATCCCATTTCCTGCTCTGCTGACTTCGTAACCCGGGTAACCTAACTATATCAGGGAACCAGGACCACGTGCTTACGCTACGAGTCATTCTATCCCTGTAGACAAACCGATCGACACATGTGGACGCTGGCTATTGGTGATAGTCACAAAGCCTAAAGCTTATTGGTCGGCACACGTTTGTGCGTTCTGATTGGTCGGTTTTACAATGGGAAAATTGTACTTCATTTCGTGTCTCCTATGTTCTTTCTATCATCAATTAGCCATTTTTGTCATTCGAACCTCGTAAGAATTTGATAGAAATGATAATAAATGGGTCATTAAACAAAATCAGTTGATTTTTATTTTTAAACACTGCTACATTAGCCAGCTGTCAAACATTTCAGTTACGTAAAATGATAATCCGCTGCCATTTTATTTGACGAAAATAAACTGATTTACCAAGTACTATGACTTTCAATTAGTTTCTCACATTCTGTCGGATAATTTGAGAGTTGAATAAACAATCGCTGTCATCATCATCATTGTTGTATGTTAGATTTTAGGATAAGTATCTAAATCGCTTAATGTTCAATTCATTGTTCCGAACCTAATTTTTCGAATTACGTATAGTGAACACTTTGGAATTTTGTTTTATAGCAAAAAAAGAAATCTTCAATCTTTAACGTATCTACAGTTTGCCTTCTGCTGACAGAAGCAGCAAGCCTACCATAACATTTTCGTTAAATGCTTTTACTAATACTTTGAAATGCACAAACATGTTATGCCCCTCCGTGTTCATTAATTAGCTATTGCTGATTGATCTGCCAATATTCGAATGCCAAAAGTAAAATAAAATACTCAGTAGTTTACTCTGAAAAATTTCATTTTTACTAAAGAATTATACACACTACTTTGTACGTCACGCTTCACGTGGTCAGAAGCTGAACGGCCTTTGAGTGACTAAAATGAAATGAAGCCTGTTCCTGTGGCTTTTCATCCTGGGCTTCAAATGCTCACAGAATCAACTGCAACGGGTTGAAGTAGATTTCTATCAAACTTGAAGTCATTACTTCAACTAATGCTGATTATCAAACAGTAGAACACTATAACGTGATCGATGTATGATATGGCTTTAATATCTTGTTTGTCCACATTCAAATGCTTTGGTTAATACCAGACAGCAATGGTATAAGTTAAATGCACATAGGCTTTCCATTGGTTTACTATCTGTTTCCCAGTGGTGCTCACGTCTGCAGCGAAATCCGGCAAGGCGTTTCGATCAAAATATCCAAAGAGAGGATAGAAATTACACATTGATTAGTTTAGTATAAGTCATTATAATTGATATTTCGTAGATATTTACAGTTAACTAAGACTCACTTTCATTCATGACAGGTTTGTTTGACGTTTGAACAAAGCAGGATTAGAACAGATCGTGGATTTTGCGGTGTGCATGAAAGGGAAGCGTCGAATGAGCAGCTAGAAAGCACCGCGCAACTGTCTTGGTGCTTGGGCTCATCATCAGTCCAAATTTATCAATCCAACTGAGGAGAGAAACCGGGATCTCTGAGGAAGAGCGCGGCAGCTGATCGAACCATTTATACTTTGATTATATACACGATACATTCCATTTTCTATTTGCCATCTTGTTGCAAGCATCATACTTCACTCAACTCAGCTCCAGTATCCATATTAATGCCTCAACTGGAAACATCCCGACCTGGTCATTGGTTTGAAGAGATTGGAGCATACAAATGGGAGACATTTCGGTGCTTGGGTTTCAAGTTGGCGGTGCAATTGCGTGCTACCTGTGATTTAACGCAATCAGATCAGAACCGGTGTCTAATAATTCCTCGAAATTTCATTTACGTTTCAGTTGTTATTGGCAGGAAAACATCCGAAACATTATTGAACATAATTCTCCGCTTGGTTTCAAGTTAGTAAAATTAGCGGACTATTTTTTCCGATGCTCGTATTTCCAAGTTATACCTTTGCACCTCGATATGCACTACGTGTGTCCAGTATCCAACGAACAGAGAAAAACCATTTATTTTTACAATACTGATCGCCATAATCAGTCACTGGACCGTAGAAACAAGTTACTTTAGCATATCATTGCAGCGCTCGAAGGAATTGGTTAGTTTAACACCAAACCTGTTATCATCTATCAAAATCTACAGTGGTATAGCAACCTAAATAGAATGTCTTTATTCGAAGTGACTAAACGAAAAAGGAGAAATGTAAGGAGGAGCATTGAACAATAGTACACATTTTGACAAAATAAATCTCAACCATTCAATCAAATTATCTTTTGATTCTATCTACACAACTGTTGCTAGTGCAGTGGTGTAGTCGCTGTCATCAGAGTACTTTGACCCCTGTGGTCCATGGTTTGAGCAACGCCACTATCATCAAACTTGGGTTGTAGGCAGCTGTCCTGGCTTTTGGTTTAATACCATGCCTATACTACTGAGGATTTTAGAGGTTCACTACGACACGTCTCGGGGCTTAGGGTACCACTTTCCATCACTGAACAGTATTATGACTATGGAGTCCATTCCGAATACCACCCATAGCAAAAATATTTTAACTAATAATGACGTGGCACTTAGCATAGACATTTTGTTAAAATAATCAGCGAAAAATACAATTTCTATGGATTCCAGATAAGAAATATTGAGCATTTTCACCATGGCAATTCAAATACTCAGTATGCAAAACGTTTTTCTCCAAAATCTGGTTTATTTATCAAATTGTCTTTAAACCATCTACACAATCTGCCACTATAAAGAAGGTCTGATTCATATTGTGCATGGAAAAAAGGGGTTTACCAGAGATGATGCGGATATTTTAAAGATATTTTAAAATTAAAAATGTGATTACCTTAAGGCATGCGTGATTATAGGCCAATAGGGATAGGATTTGAACTGAAGTACGTCTTCATCAGGTCATATCTGAATAACTTTGACAACTATCTACTTAATTTCCTAATAATTTTTAAAACTTTTAAAAGCGAGTTCTCGAGATTTAGCATGCTCCTTTAACTAAGCCTGTACCTGCTGAATGGAAATCGGATAGAGGCCCTCCATTAAGGTGGAATTCATTCAGCTACCTCAGTTCAACAACGTTCATAACATAGGAGTATTGCAGATTGGACATTGGACGCTGTTAACTGAATATAGGTCCGGATTTTCATTGTGTACGTGACCATAAAAGTACACTGGACGTACTCGCACTAGATCGTCAAGGTTTGATGGTTCATAAAGATAGATATATATGAAAAAGAAACAGGAACAGGCTTTTCCCGTGATAAGTTTGAAAAGAGATGCCACAGAAGACATCCATATTTTTTTATTTTGTAATCCATTCCCAAAGCTTATATAAACTTTGTATTTATCTGCAGTAGGCACCAATTGAGATGCAATGAAATTGCCCAGGACTTTGGTCATGCAGTGTTATTCTACGGGCTTCTCTTTTCATAAACATGAACGAATTCGTTTTGCTTATTTGAAACGACGTCACAAAAAACCCAAAATGTTTCATCAACATTTATTGTGTAGTCGATAGATCGTTGTGAACAGCAGTTTCTCAGCTCTGGTTTTGTCGGAAATGCAAAGACCTCCTGCGCTTTTTGTCTCAGGCTTTGATCAGATCAATTGCGAAACTAATAAACAAGTATATAGTGATTTATTTTGATTTCAATAATTGATTTCACTTCTTGGTATTAATGACCAAAGATAAATTTGTCATAAATGAAACGTATCACATTTGAATAAAACACTGCGTTGGTGTTAGAAAAACTTGAGCAGTTTTTGCTCCTTGTATAACTAATGCGTTAGATAGGGTCATGACACGATTGCTCTAATGTGCATTGCGTGTTTTGTTTCATTTATTGTTTTTGACGTGGTACTCTGTGTGTCAGCTGCACAGTCAGATTCAACATCGCCTAAACTTCACAGGCACTCGTTGATGGAGTTGGTAATCAATTCAGGCTATACATCTTCTTTTGACCCGTGGTCACGTGATTTCATTCAGTGTCATTCGTTGAACAGCTAAAGTATTCACAATAAAGATATGGCATTAGTTCCGAAAAAGAAAAAATGCCTGGTGATTGAACTTGAGCAGTTTTCAATATTTCTAACAACTCTGGATGGATGGATCAAACTTACAATAACTCTCAGAGTTTTAGTTGAATGGATTTCAGGTTTTGAAGTAATCTAGTGTGACATTATAGGAATATTGTGCGCTGAAAATTGCACCGTATTAGTCAGTTGCGCGAGATATGTTCTCTTTTGTGTGCATATCAGCGTATGCATTTATTCGTTCGCCAATGAGTATTGTGTCCGACTGTTTTCATTTAGACTGAACACCCATCGACAGTCAACTGTCCTGACAACACTAAACCTTGAAAGACGGATATGCAGGTAAACTGAGGAATTTTTAGTTTCTTCGTTCAAATCTGTTATATAGGTCAAACGTGGCAAGTGCTCTCTATTTACTTCATCTTACACAAATAAAAGGTTCAGACGTAGAATTTAAAAACATATACCCACTATCCTTAAAGAGCCACCGGCCTTCTTCGTTTTTTCACTAGAACCCAAATGCAGTCTGCTGTCAGAGAAGACGTACGAACCATAATTACAGCCACAACGTTTTACTATTGTAGATTTGTGCATAATATTATAATCATTATTCTGTCACTATAATCGGACTAATACCACTCTGAGCTGCTCATTTTTTGTTCTCCGAAGCTGACCACAACGAGTGACTTCAATCCCTGTACATGCGCGATTTGTACTAACTGAGTTCACTTTGTCACAAGTGCCTGCTTTGCATGATTTTATCGCTGGTTTGTTAAAACTGAAGCAATTAATTGTCTTGGAGAATTCTAACTTTACCATTTTTAATAAATATTCGTCACTGTGTGAGTTCCCATCACATTTTTATTTGTCCCGGTGCCTTCAATTATGATGGGTGCAATTCCCAAATACGAACTCAGTGCTATCCAAATAGATTTAGATGTTTGCAT